GCCAAATATACTGTCCAGCCTATGACAGGGCTCCTAGCTCAAAGAGTCTGTTATCAAACAAGAGAGTTCAGTCCGTTGCGGAGTCTTGACATCCGGAAACAAACAGACTAYGAGCYGAAATGAGCTATCAGAAARATACGAGTGATGGACAGTGTCAWGGTGAAACAGATATAAATAATTAGTCCATGACAACCATTTATGTTGTCACAGATTTATCCCAGTCATGACTCTTTTAGCAGCAAAACMAAASACATTGACAGAGTTTCTGTGGCAAATAATGGAATTGTTGTTCGAACATGAGGATGGAAATAAAGCGCACATTTGTGTATGCAATCTGATTAAAAGTGCCTTATTAGACCAAAGTGGAGCCACATTCATAAGCCAGGTGTAAACTGATGTGCTCTGAGCTGTCCGCTAATAATTATACCACAGGACGCACATACAGCATGAATGTGTCTAGACTTTGGAAAGAAAGCAGCTCATTGGGACACAGACAGGAAGAACATGCAAATTGCGCACATCAAGCCTCTTTCAGCCTCCTGATTTAAACTCAAATCTGCCTTTCTGTGAGGTGTAATCACATAGAGTAATGGTGAAAATTGCAACCAAAAATGAGAACATGTCTGTTCTTTAGACCTTCAAGCTGAACAGCCACGACCAGGACTAAAAAAATATATAAATAAAAACATTAACATTTAAAACGCCTCACTGTTCAATGTCATTAAACATGTCGTGTTTAAAATGCGGTTTCTCATCTGTCAAAATGCTCACTTAAACTTTTGCCGCGGAGAAGAAATTGTGAGATGTTTACCCACAAACACGTTAGAATCTGGTTGCCTGGAAACAAAACAGTGGGACTTCATAAAAACCGTGGCTCCCCTCCAAGAAATAGTACAAAACATTATTAGAAAGAGTAATAAATCATTTTTTAATCTGCTTTGGAATTAAATTCAGCATTACCTGTTGATTCATGAGAATTACAGGTACTAATAGAATACTCTTA